TGAATGAACGTGCCCCCCGAGTCGTGGGGCCTGGCTGCACTGGGAAGACCCCAGTGGCTCTGGCTGCTGTAACTGGAAGACACGCTCTCAGACCGCGCAGGGTGCGCCGTCGCATCTGGGGCCTCGAGATTAGGGCCCCCGCCTCCAGCGTGGCCCACGGCACTGAGCCTGGGGACAGCCGGCCCAGGAAGGGGCCCGTATCTGAGCTGAGCGCTTGGGGAGGAAGGGTCTGCGCTTAGGGGCTCACTTGGCAGAACTTCCTGGTTCTGAATGAACTCTAAGTTCTCAACGTTCTCGTACCGCGGGCCGCCAGCACCGTGAGTCCCCGCACGTGCTGTGTCACCCCACATGTCAACAGCAGCAGCGTTAGTGGTTGCTTTGTCGTGTCGGATGCCTGCAGACTGAGAAAAATAAGGCTGTGGGTCTCCTCCCTGCTGCGTGGGTTCGCTGCTGGAACCTTTGAGAAAGGCCTGATAAACGCCTCCTGCCCCCATGTGTGCAGGAGGCTGGCCGAGGCCCGGGCCGGAGGAGAAACCATCGAAGTCAGACTGCCCGGCGGAGACTGCTTTTTCAGATGTGAGGTTCTCTTCGTTCTCTGTCTCTCCTCCTTTGAAAAACATGGAGAGCGCTCCCGAGCCCGCTTCCGGCAGGGTCCAGCTGCTCCCAGCACCCAGGGGGTCGTGTGAGTGGCTTTCTGGGCTGTTTCCCTGAGCGAGGAGGTTAATGAGAGCCAGGTCTGACAACTGCTCTCTATTCACTCCTGGACTCAACCTGAACTCCTGGCCCGCCCGAGCGTTCCCAACTCTGGAATTCTGCCTGAATGCATTTTCTGGATCAAAGCTATTTGCTGAGTGGTTTCCACTTTGCAGGTAGACTGCCTCATTTCTCCCGTCACTGGCCGAGGGTCCCGGTAAAGACACCAGGGGGCCGTGTTGCTCGTGGCCAGGACCCTGACGCGGGTTGGACGGAGCGGGAAAGTGGGCAGCGCTGGAGGCGTGGCACACCGTGTTCTGCACAGGTCCCTCAGGGCAGGGCCGGTAATGCTGCCCCGAGGGCTGCGGGCCTCCCTGCACTGACCCCCGCTGCCCGGGCGTTTGCTGACGAGGCTGAGGGAGGAAAGGGGGCGCTGCTGGTGTCGCGGTGCCGTCGTGCGGGCTCGGCCTGCTCAGGGGTCTGTCGGGCCGTGGCGTGTTCGCCTGTGGATGGCCCACACGACAGCTGTCAGGACCCACTCCTGGGATGTACTGAGGAGGATACGGCGGGGTCTGAACTTCAGGCTCTGGGCCGGGAGCGACCTCGATTCTCCTGTTCACCTCGTGCCCAGGAGGTGCCGAGGGGCTCAGCACGCCGGGAAATGGGCTGGCATCTGACCTGGGCTGCAACGGAGGGCCCGGCAGAGGCTCGCAGGGTCCTTGGGAGCTATCCCCGGCATTTGTGTGTGGCCCAGGCAGACCAGCACGCTGAAGAGACAATAGTGGGGCTGGACCTTGCACAACGGGTGGGCTGCTTTTAGACGAACTGCCCAATGATGTATTTTGGAGCGCCTGTCTACTAAAAGCAAACGGGTCCGTCACCGGCTGCAGTGGGCAGGTTATCGGGGCCACCGGTGCATTACTATTGGCCTGTCTCCTGTATGGGCTGTTGGACCAGAACATGCTCTGAGGACTCCCGGACGGAGGCGGCCGGACCACGCCAGACGGGACAGCCTGGGGTGGAGGTTGCATGATCGAACTCCTGCACAATGCGATGCTGCTTACAGAAAGAAGCAGGATAGAGGTGTTCCTTACTTTGAACTGAAAAAGAAAAAGAAAAATAATTAATACATAAAATCCATGTATTCAAAGTCCTGGCTGCAATCAGGAAAACTAAGAAGAAAAAGGCTGAAAACGATTTTGCATCATGCAGTCCTGAGGGATACACCCCTCCTGCCTCCACTCCCGTGAGAACTGCTGTCCTGGGCAGCTCGGGAGGGAGGACCCGGGGTGACAGCACGGCCGGGACGCAGAAGCTGGCTGTGCCTGGGCCAGCCGAGTGCCTTGAGATGACTCGCGGCCCTTCGCTGAGATTCAGTTACGTACCCCAGCTACGCACCCACGGGCAATGCCCACCGCCCGCCTCCACGATGCCCTCAGCAAGCTGGCAGGGACCGAGCAGAAGCTAACGCCAGTCACACCAGGTACGCAGTCCCTCCACACTTTCCCATAAGTTATCGCAGACCAAGAAAAAGCCAACTCCTCTATTAAGACTGCATATCATACTTTTCATACAGGTTAATTCTAAATCTTGAAAGGAAAACAAAAGTTAAAAATTTGCTCCTCTGTTTTCTTTAATTAAAGAGCATTACAGAGTAATATAAGCTGCAAAATAAACATCTAAAATGTATTCACCTAAAATGCCTTTTATCCCACCCTGTAAGATGTCTCATTTTCTGCACCGTGACTGGTTGCACACCACTAGCAAAACAAGCTGCCTCCGATAACCAGAGCTGTAACAACTATGTGCCCATAAACCCTTTATAGAAAACAAGGGGGTAGAAATCCTCTTTACAGCGTTTTTTGTTGTTGTTTGTTTTTTACTAAAACACACTAAGTATAATCTTGAATAGTTAACCTGCACTTTTGAGACAAAAATCCAAGCATGGTGTCTTTACAAAGTCCTCCTCTGTCTGTCACTCCTTCTCCCCAGAACAACCTTCACAAACAGATGAAGTGGAGCCCATCACAGAGAAATGTCAACAACAAAGGAAGAAATGATAGAAGGACTCCTGGGTTTAACCCACACATTTCTGCAGGTGTACAACGTTTTTGTCCTTGGGAATCTTTCTGATACTCAGACAAAAGAAAAAGTGCATAAACGTATATTGAGTAAACTTATTTACAAATGAAAGTTCCTATTCCCATCTGACAACGAGTCCCATGAATCTATGAATCCATTACTATTACTGCCCGCACACACTCTCGTCCCAGGCCAACAGGGAACCCTTTCTGACAGACAAGCACTTTGAAACTCACTCAAATTTAATGGAATTAAATACATGAGGAACAGCATCAGAGACTTCATTTGGTTCTAAGCCGTCATTTTAAAACAAAGAACGTTTACAGCTCAGCTTTATATGGAGCGAGGGGAGAAGCAGAGCCTCTTGCTCTTATCTGTGAAACAGACGCATCTTATAGGACATGACATCCTCCTTGTAAGGCTTCAACAGGAGACCCTCAACCACACTAAGCAGCATATATTAAAAAAGAAAGAATACACACACATACATACACACACACACACACACACACACACACACAGAGAGAGAGAGAGAGAGAGAGAGAGAGAGAGAGAGAACAGGTCCAGAGGATTTATTCCCCAGGTGTCACTGTGAGAGCCAGACTGGGCGCCAGCTGAGTGGCTCAGCCACAACCACTGCTCCTTCTGTGACCCAATTTCTTCACCTATAAAGTGAGAACTGAAATGATGGTTTCAAAGTCCCTTTGGGGTTTAATCTTACGAAATTCTATTCACAGTAGATTCTGGGAGGCCCAAATCCCTATGGCTGTTTAACAGGGAAATCTTATCAGAATCTGAATTTCACATAACATTTATACTTAAGATGTTTTCCTTGCAGAAACTTCCTTATAATTATTTTCTCAATTCCTGGACTAAGAATCATTTTATAAACAAACACTATCATTTCCCTACAAAGTAGCTTTGCCTTCTCTCCCCAACAACTGAGAGCTTTTTAGCAATATACCAATTTCATTTGGAACAATCTTCTGACTTGAACATTATTCTTTTGGTACGCGGGCCTCTCCCTGTTGTGGCCTCTCCCGTTGCGGAGCACAGGCTCCAGACGCGCAGGCTCAGCGGCCATGGCTCACGGGCCCAGCCACTCCACGGCATGTGGGATCTTCCCGGACCGGGGGACGAACCCATGTCCCCTGCATCGGCAGGTGGACCCTCAACCACTGCGCCACCAGGGAAGCCCAACATTATTCTTTTGATCTTTTTTTATATTCACCAGCAAAAAACAATGCAAGAGCATATCATTTATCTTTTGACTATAGAGAATTTTATTCTGTCCAGTAAGTCATTCTGTAGCCTCAAGTCACCTAACTTTAAAAAAGGCAGATGGCTTCAAAGAAACCAGCTGATCTTCCTAAAGATGCATTATTCATAAGCCTAGCTCTTCAATTAAGCTGCCTTGGATCTATGTGAAGGATCTATGTGAATTAAATACAACCTGTTTCAAAATAAATTCCCGGCTACTGAACTGAGATACTGAAAGCACACTCATCTCCTGCCAGGGCCGTCGCCTCAATCGTAAGTGTGTAAACCAACCAGAGTGTCAGGAAGCACCTGGGAGTCTATGCTCTGCCCACAGTCTCCCTCACGGCAACTGCTAAGCAACGTACCTATCAGACTGGGGGACACCGGACACAAAGACAGCACAGACTCCAACTTTTCTAAGTACAGAATCATACACATTTAGATGTTAAAGAAGGGAGTGTCTAAACACTGCAAAAAACGACAAGGAGCAAAAAGGACACTCGGAGAAGATGTTTACAGAAGCAAGAAGGAACCACATTAAAATCTGCACACCTACCCTGGAGAAAACTTTCCGTACAATTCTGAGACTTACTGCAGTAACTGCTATTAAGGGTGTATGAGTGAGTCACAAAGAACAAGAAAGAATTGATTTTTTTTGGCTCTTGCTGTATCTTTCTAAGATAACACCTGGAACCGTAAGAAAGGGCACAGGGGGAAAAAACTGCAGGGAGGCAGGCTCTGCTGAAACTTGCAAAAGTATCAACCTAGGAACAACTGTCTGTGACTCAGTTTGCTTCTTGCCATATCCAGGGATGGGAAATACCTCTCTGTTTTTTTGTTTGTTTGTCTGTTTGTTTGTTTTTTTCCTTTTCTGCGGTATGCCGGCCTTCTCACTGTTGTGGCCTCTCCCGTTGCGGAGAACAGGCTCCGGACGCGCAGGCTCAGCGGCCACGGCTCACGGGCCCAGCCGCTCCGTGGCATGTGGGATCTTCCCGGACCGGGGCACGAACCCGTGTCCCCTGAATCGGCAGGCGGACTCTCAACCACTGCGCCACCAGGGAAGCCCAGGGAAATACCTCTCTGGTTAACATCTGCATCATATGTATTTAAAGCAAAATCTTAATAAGCAACTCACAATCTCCAAACCATTTAAAACTTTTCACGTAAAGCAGAACAACTGATTTTAAATGGCTGTGTCATGTCCAGACGCTCTACTGTAATACTTTCTTCACAAAAAGGGCAGGCTGGTTTACACATTCCTCCGCCCCTTGATATAAAACACAGCGCTCGACCTCGGTTGCAACATCTTGGTCACCTCGCCCCATTACCAACAGACGCAACAAGGCTGTTCCTTGGTTCAAATGTCAATCTACCTCATCGCCCGCACGGCTCAGGAGAAACCTTTCAACCAATGAACACAAAACCTCAGAACCTTGGAAGCAAAGGGCAAAGCTAAACTGTTACAAAAATTCCCTAAATGCTTCTCCTTAAAAAGTTGCAGGTCTGGCTTTTCTTCCAGCCTTTCCAACACAATCCCACACTGAGGCCACCACGGCTAGTGTCCACTCAGCTGACCCGACAGCCC